GTTAATTCGAGTGTGTATGACCGATCATCAAAATCATGTCTACGCCCACTAGGGCCAAAATTCCCCAAAATGCACTATAAGGGAATGTGATTAGTTGTCAATTCTTCTTACCCGGGTTATAGCAAGTCGTTATTGTTGCTTATTCATTTTTAGATTATAATATTACTTTTTTTTTTTAAAAAACAAAAAAGTTAACATATTTCCTCACTCACGTTTTTCCAAAATATTTCTCTTAAACGTGACCCAAGGTTCAAGCATACACTGATATTGTCCATGAAGTCCGATTCACTCAAGAATTACGAAGGACCCAATGAATCAAGAACTTAATTTACCTTTACGCCTGAACCTCAAGACATCCTTCATTGGTGCCACTCTCAAGAATATCATATCTCCTATCTTGAATTTCAAGCTTCTACGCCTCAAATCTGCGTAGCTTTTCTATCTACTTTGAATGGTACACATCCTTACTCTAATTTTCTACACTTGCTCATTGGTAACTTGAACCAACTTAGTCCTACCAATTCTCTATCGCCCACTTCATCCCAACATAACGGGGATTTATACCGTTTTCCATATAAGACCTAGAACGATGCCATCTTGATGGTTGCCAGGAAGCTATTGTTTTACAAAAGCTCCATCAGATGTAGTTTGGAGTCCCAATTCTTGTGAAGTCTAGTACGCAATCATGTAGTATGTCCTCTAAGATCTGATTCAAATGCTCCGTTTGGCTATCTGTTTGAGGGTTGAAGACAATGCTGAAATCTAGGTGAGTATGTACTTTATCCATTCTCTGTATTCTCTATTAATGTACTTAATTGAAGTCATTAATATAAACTTTTAGTCATAATTTCTCCCTACCTCTTTTCTCTCTTGTTATTTATGTTCATTTAAATCAAGTGTGTGAGTTGTTATAGAGTCCTATCAACTAGTATTAGAGCTAGGAGATATTCACCACGATCCGTGAGTATGAAGTTCAAAAATTGGAATCAATAAGTTTGATGGATTCAATTTCTGTTTTTGGAAGATGTAGTTGAAGATTATTTGTATTAGAAAAATCTCCATGATTTGGACTAAAGTCGGATACCATGACCACAAAGCAGTGGAAGATCAAAGATCGGCAAGCCCTAGGGTTGATTCGATTGATGTTGTTCAAAAACGTAATGTTCTACACAATCAAGGAGAAGACAGCATTAGATCTATTGAATGCGTTGTCGACTATGAGCAAGGTATATTTGATGCGTAGATTGTTTAATTTACAGATGTCTGAAGGTAGATCTGCTGCGAATCATATAAATGAAAGTCAATTAAACTCAATGGAAATTAGTTTCGAAAATGAAATTAAAGTATTAATTTTGATATAATATTCACCTGTGGGATATTTTTTTGCTGCAATCATCAGTTTCCGAGGATCTGAGAAATTGCAATTTAATGAAATTCGAGAGGTAGTTCTAATCGAAAATATTCACAAACAGAAAATTGATTATTCATTAGCTAGTGCTCTCAGTGTTGATGGAAGGTGAAAAAGTAAATCAAAATGTCCAAACAAACATGACCGATCAAAATCAAATAACCGAAGAAAATCTCCAAAGAGACTGAAAGTAACATATTAGAATTGTGGAGAAAATGGGCACTATGAATAGAATGTACAAAACTGAAGATGAATCGGAGTTACAAATCTAGAGATAATGATGATTCTATAAAATCAGCCGAAGATATGAGGATGTTCTAATCCTCAACTTGGGCAACTCAATTGAATCTTGAATGTTAGAAGGAAAATTGATATGGGTCTTTGTGATGAGTTGGCTTCCAATCCAAGTTTCATTTCTATTAACTAAGATATAATTAGTTTAATATGGGATATAACTATCTAATAATCCGGTACCATATATAGTTGTTTACTATATATGACATTTCTTATTTGTGTAAAATCTTATATTACATGATTATTAGATAGTTATATCCCATATTAAACTGAACTATATCTATCCACTACGCTAGAGTTTTTTCGATCTTTGTTTTACATTCTTGTATTTTATATTATTATACATATTTAAAGTCGTCACTAAAAACATTTACCAAATATTTTTCATCATATTTTGTCTCTCCAACTTTTTGTGTTTATCTACATCGATTATGTGAGTTGTAGTGCAATCCTAATAGGAACACCAAAAGGTTAACAACACATGCCATCACACATCTGCACCCTATCTCGCACAACCGGATGCATCTGCCTCAAACATGTTAAAAGATTTTGGTCAATTTTATTAAATGGTATGGATTACATAGACTAACACAATATTTGGCTAAAAATCACATTTTTTTAATCATTACATTTTACTATTTTTTCATTTATTTGATCTATTAATATACCTACATTTCTTATAATTTTCAATGAGAATTGTCGTTATTATTATTTTTTTTTTCTTTTTTCTTAAGCCAATTTCAATGACAATTGTTAAAATCGCATAAAAAATAAAAATAAAAATAAAAATGAAGATTTGTGTGGAGGGCAATAGAAAAAATATATCCAATTTAAATGTCATTACCACGTAATAAATATCTAATTGTGGAATTGCCAATTCAACTTGACTTTGTTGACTTTGACACCTATGGGTTTTCTTGGTCGTAACACCCTTTTATTAAAAAAAAAAAAAGTAAAAGAGTAGTGGAATTTAAAAGATTATTATTATTATTATTATTTTAATTAAACTTGTATGATATTTGTAATTAAAATAAATATATCAACATCTATCATGGTGATTTTGAAATGTAAAATAAATTCCAATTATTTTAAAAATATTAATTGGGGTTTATTGGTCATAGAAATACATTAATTTATTAAATCAATTATATGACTTAAATAAAAATAATCATATTAAATTAAATTGGTTAAAATATCTACTTTTGTTTGAATCCACCAGACTGTGTATGTATTGAAATTAGTGAAATAAATTAGGTCAAATTTGAAGGTAGGTTTTTGTCCCATTTTAAATTTTAAACTCTTTTGAAAAACTTTATAAATATTTATTATTACTAAAAAATTAAAAAAATTAAAAAGGGATATAAAATTTTTAACCATTGCCAGTTGCATGTGGTACACGTGTCAGTTACATTAATCTAGACTCTCGTATTCCAAGGCTGCTTCCGTTTACTCCTTCAAAACGGTGTGTTCCAAACGCGGTTTCAGTGTAAACAGGAGTCAACCCCGGCGGTGACATCCTCTTAATTTATTTATTTCTTTTTCTTTTTCTTTTTTCATTTTAGACCTTATGTTTTCTAAGATTCCAAAATTTTATTTTTTATTATTGTTTTAAAATTTAAATAATGATTATTCTAGAATAAATTTGGAAGTGTGACAAGTACGAGATTTGAATTCGTGATGACGTGGCTGGGCTATCCAAGACCATTAAAAGATGTGTCGTACGTCACGTGTCATCATGCCCACCACGTTTTATCCTCTCTCATTAGTTACTTTTTTTTTTCTCTTTTTGACGGTGCTTCGACAGGAAAACAAAAATTCCCTTTATTTTATTGTTTTTTTTTTGTTTTAAATATATTTTAAATAAAGAAAAATGAAATACCATGACTAAATAATTCGATTAATTCAGAACATCAAACCCAAATTATAAATATTATATTGGACTATATTTTTTTTCTATTTGAATCAGACTAAATATTTAAAAAATCGAAAAATTGTACCATTAAAAAATTAATAATGTAGAGTTGACGTGTCTCTCTAATTTTCTAATTTCTTTTTGTTTTTAACTTTTTTTAAAAACTACTAATTTTGTAATTTCACTTTTGTCTTAGTCTTAGGAGGATTATTTATTTATTTTATATTTAAAGAGAAAACAACTCTGAAATTAAGTAAAATAATGTTCGGTAGATTTTAATTTTGAAAAACCAAGTTATGGCGTTTTTGACAAATTATATTAATTTTGTATGATTTAGTTAGGAGGACACAAAGTAGACTTGTTATTTAGAATATTATCCATACCTTTATATAATTTTAGATTTATTACAAGATAATTGAATTAATTCCGAATATTCAACCCAAATTATAAAAATTAGATAAGGTTAAATATTTTTTTTCCGTTTTGGATTAGGTTGAATTTTTAAAAAAACAAAAAATTCAATCTAGTTTCCTGGTTACATTTTTGTAGTTAAGTGAAAATAAAGCTACAATTCAACTTTTCCATAAGAACATTTATCATTCTACCAAATTATAAATATTAGGGTCAATTATTTTTTTCAATATTTTATTGTTTTTTTCAATAAAAAAAAAAATGAAATTTGAACCAAACTACAAATATAAATATTAGGTTTAAGTATTTTTTTTCTATTTGAATCGATTCACAATTTGATATTTTTTTAGCCTTTGAAAAATCTAAAACTTGAGAGTTTGGATTATTGTTGGAGTAAATAAGGAAGGGTTCGAGATTTGGCAAATTATTTTAGGTAAATCGGGTTCTATGTAACCTAATGGGGAGAGTCGGGATATAAAGTATAATACAATTTTCAAATATTAATCCTCACATGGGATAAGCACCCATCATCCTTGTTTGTCTTATAAGGATTATTTATTTATTTATTTATTTATTTTACATGTATAAAGAAAACAAAATTTGTATGAAACAAAAAATTATATATATTCATAAAAGATCCACACTTCATGTCATTGTGAAATTCTTTTAACCACAAATTAAATTTCTTTTAAGAAAAAGAAAGAAAAGAGAAGAGGGGGGAAAATCACAGCGGTAAATTGTGAATATTTGCCACCAAACCCCCGTAAAAAGGTAAAAAGGTAAAAAGGTAAAAAGGTAAAAAGGTAAAAAGGTCGAAGGAAAAAAGAGGTTGGATAAGAACGGAAGTTTGTGTCCTTTTTTAGGCCACCTCGAGGTGACACGTCATCTGTCTCTAAATTGGGCCCACTGGATAAGAACCGGTGATCTCGGCCCTCCACACCCTCCCAATATTCATTTTCTATTTATCCCCACCCTTCCCCGTTTCCCTCCTCCCACTTTCACTCTCCCTCTTCCATCGGTTCCTTGTTCCTTCTTCTTGTTAATGGCATCCGTTGCTACTGCTGGAATCTCCATCGCCCGCACTGGTTCTTCGTCGTCTTCGTTCTGGATCCGCCATAGAAATCGTTCCAACAAGGATCGGAGTTCTAGGAATCGAGTTAGGGTTACGTGTTCTTCTTCTCTGCTCGATCCTTATCAGACTCTTCGGATTCAACCTGGTGCCTCTGAATCTGAGGTCAAAAAGGCCTTCCGACGCCTCGCTCTTCAGGTTCCATTCCTTCCTTCCTTCTATTTCCTCATTTCTTCCTCACTCTGTTTTCTGATTGTTTCAATTTCGCCGGTTTTTCAGTATCATCCTGACGTTTGTAGAGGAAGTAATTGTGGCGTGCAGTTTCATCAAATCAATGAAGCTTACGATGTACGTGTTCATATTCCTGATTCATTACGTTTTCTTCCTTACATACTATGATTAGGATCAATTATTGGAATTCGTTACGTTTGTAGAGGAAGTTATTGATTCTTTTTCCGAACACAATAACTAATAAAATTGAATGAAGAATTTGACTATTTCTTCGCGGCTCTTTTATTTGACCTTACAGCATGTGAAATAGAGTGTTTGTTCCAATTTTTTTTAATGTACAATTTAGCAGTCTTTTTTTTACAATAGTGAAATGGATGTAACAATTAACCGAATTAAGTTTTGGTGAAGCAGATTGTGATGAACAACTTAAGAGGTATATCGACACCAATAGAGACATGTGAATCGTGTGAGGAAGGGGTGGATGAAGCGATGAGAGGAATGGAGGATCCTGATTGGGAGTTATGGGAAGAATGGATGGGATGGGAAGGAGCAGGAATTCGGGATTATTCCTCGCATATCAATCCCTACATTTAGAAGAAAATTAAGTAGCATTTGTGAATAGAAGAACCGTCGTTAAATCTGTCAACATCGGCCATTGTAATGGGGAAGGGCCCAGGGAAGACTGGAAAATCTCTTCCCTGTTTTCAAATGTTTTTGTACATAAGGTCAATAGAGCGGGCCTTCGGCTTTTAATAATGTGGAAAGGCTCTAAGATGCCCTATCATAGTTGTGGTGGGGCATTTGTGTTTCATCTTCGTTGTCAATCAGTCGTATTCGTGTGTACTCGATCAATAACGACTTATACTAGAACATGAAAATACAATTACAATCAAAATTGACCATTTACTTTTTTTTTTTTTTTTTTTTAATAAGGCATACAAAACATATATATTAATCTATACATTATACTTATATATCGAGGTTTATACTTATATGCAACGTATTGAAATAAAAATAAATTTTAACAATAAATATTGATTTTAGTTATTATATAAGAATGGTAAAAAATGTGCCAAATAAATATATTAAATCTAAAATTAAAAAAAGTTGAACTGTCTGTAAAAAAAAAATGTCTTTAAAAATATAATCTCAATATGGATAGGGAACACTCACAAAATTCCTGAACGGCACCGATCAACTGACAATAACATATATTATTAGGAATCTACATTGTTGGAATAGTTGATTGGTTGTTTAGGAACATATATTATTAGGAATCTACATTGTTGGAATAGTTGATTGGTTGTTTAGGAATTAGTGTTCGAGAATTGTTGGGAGGTAGTTTCACATTGACTAATTTAGGGAATGATCATAGGTTTATAAGTAAAGAATACATCTCCGTCAATGAGGCTTTTTATGACGTCTAAAGCAAAGTCATGAGAGCTCAAAGTGGACAATATCATACCATCGTGGAGATTCATGATTCCCAACATGGTATTAAAGTCATGCTCTTACCTTATTCATGTCAATAGAATTCTCAAACGTCGAACAAAGAAATTGTGAGCCTCAAAAGTGTAGTCAAAAGTAACTCAAGTGTCAAACAAAGTTATATAGTGTATTTTGTTTGAGGGGAGGATTGTTGAAAGGTAGTCCCACATTGACTAATTTAGAGAATAATCCTGACTTTATAAATAAAGAATATTTCTCGATTTGAAGTCTTACCGTCAAAACCATCTTGAATGAGCTAGTTACCCATCTATCAATTTTTGTTTAATCATAGAAAATTAGATATAAATATTTGGTTCATAATTTAGGAATTTATAGGGTTAGAATAGATTGAAATTGGAGAAAATGGTGAAAATAGGGCTAAACGAGAAAAAACTCAGGAAAAAGAATCTATAAAACACACTACCTACACGTCCCAACTAGGCCTGTATCCAAACTTGGCCAGCCCAACGTTCAAACCTATTGTCACCACCCAACCCAAGTTTGCTTTCTGCAGCCCAAGTCTCTTTCATTGACCAACCCAACCAATGTCACAATCGTACTCTTGTGGCAGTGGGATAGCGATTGTGCGATATTTGTTCTAATTTGGCGAACAAGTTAGCCATACGGAAGTTGGACTTTGTGGACAACCTTAGCTTATATCGAGCCTCAAGTCATGTTTGAAAGAAATTAATGTTAAGTTAAAAGCAAATAAACAACCCTAATGATTTTGATAGCATATAACCTAGGTAGTAAGAATTGACAACTAGTCACATCCCTTGCTGTACATTTTGGAACATTTTAGCCTTGGCGGTATAGACATGATTTTGATGACCCATCATACTCCCCCATATTGACACAATAGGAAACAGTAAAAACTTATCTAACATGAAAGCAAGTGAAAGGGGTTTGAAACGGACATGCGACTATGGACAACATGTCTTGAACAAGCATGACTAGGATATCCGACATGCAACCACAAGCAACATGCTTTGGACAAGCATGACCATGACCTCCTCCAGTCAATTGGTCGATACCTCTGTCAACCGAATCTTCACGAACTTAGTGATGTAGGGCGAGACTAACTTCAGGTCTCTCGACGCACTTCCAGTTGTTCTCAACATTGATAAGTCTCTTCCAATTTGCAAGGAACTGTTAAAAACTACTTCTTGGTCTGTAAACTCTTTCCTTCTTCTCTGTCAATGTCTTCTACTTTTTTTTGCTGGAAAAATTATTCTTCTTTACATGAGATCGTACCACCTTTTTGTGCTTGATGTTTTGTTGGTCGGGATAGTAATGTTTCTAAGTTACTGACATGGACAATAGGGCTAGTTTGCATCAAATGGGAGTAATTGAGTCTTACTTGATGCATTCTTGACTTCGTGGATAACTTTGACTGGTCCATAGTATTTTCACACGAGTCATTGGTTCTTGTTGTCTTGAAATCGGAGTTGATCTAACCTCAACTTTATCAGAACTCAATACCCATCTTGAAATTTTTGTGGATGATGCATTTGACCGACTCTTCTCTTCATTCATTTTGACGGTATTTCTTCATGAATATAAGTTGCTTAAGAAGTTCGTCTCTGTCTCCCCTCCTTCAACTGAGGTGTTGGCTGAGTGTCTCTTTAGCATTTGGGTAATCACCGACGAGAGTTTTTTTGGGTCTAATGAACTTGACTGTCAACAATTCTTTTAGTTGTTTGTAGAATTCAGCTAGCTTAGGTTGAGTCGTATTACACACATTTGTGGTGGGTGATCTCACCCCCAATATAACATCAAACTTGTAATCTATCTGCCTAGGTGGAGATAAATAAATTGTCTTGACTTTTTGGTCTATGTCGTAGTGTTCCTGTAGCGGCTGCGAGATTTCTGTTGGAGTGAGCTTACTTGAGTTCTCCTCTTCAATCATGGCAATTTAGTGAGCGTGAGTTCATCATCGTTAATATCTCTTCTTAACTGTAGTGTCGACATCATTTTCATCCATTTTGATTGATGGGTGATTGTCTGAATGATTGTCGGGTTAAACCCCATTACTACTAAACATTTCGTTAGGGACATGGAAATGACTTTATTTTACCTGCGTCGTTAGAATCCTCCTCTGGTGGCATAATTTTGCTTCTACCAACAACCTCCCAAAGGTCTTCACTTGTAGATAGAACATCATGTACGTTACCTACATGATGTAGTTGTTGCTCTTGGGTTTCTTGATTCCTCCTCCGCCTTCAAAATCACGTGGGATGGTACTATCTCTCTAACACCAAATAAACTTTTTTTACTAAAAAAAAAAAACTCACTTACCAGTACAATTATTGGCTGGTGCTGATGATCTTTTAACCAACCTTTCTATTTTAATTTACTAATATTAAAAAGAAAAAAAAAAAAAAGGCAAGTATTTATGTGTGAATCAAATTGAAAATAATATAATATTTAAAAATATATATATAAAATCCGACCTGGTTTGTAAGAAGCAGAATTGTCTGTTTTACAAAATTATTTGCATTTCATGTCCATGCCTTTTGTGTCAGCCAAATTTACTATAATTATTTAATTAATTTAGTTACTCACTATAAAAATAAAAATATTTAATTAATTTAGTTACTCACTATAATTATTGTGTAAATTATTCCATAAAATTTTATCCATGAAATTATTATTATTATTTTGGCATAATTGAGAATTAAATTTGTTAGTGAAATGATATGGTCAGCATGAGTGAAGCCTGAGATTCCTGAACCTGCTTGGCTTCTTTTCTTGGTTCTTCTTCCTCCATCAATCACCACTCCCATTTTCAATCTCTGTTAATCTTTTCATGTAAGCCAATCGGAATTCTCATCCTTCTGCTGCTTCATTCGATCGCTTCTCCAATCTAGGTTTTCCTTCATCTTTTCTTCTTCAATCCTTAATTTAATCTGTTTTCGTCTGTGAAATCTTTAATTTCAGAGCCCGAGATAAGTGATTATATATATTTCTTCACGCTCTCTGAGGACCGCCGCCTTAGTTCTCCTTTGGAGGTGATTCTCTTTCTCTTTTGCGCTTTCTGTTCTTTCCTTACATGCTTTGATACCTGCGGTTGCCATTTACATCTATAGATTCGGGAGTTATTCCGGTGGGACATAGATGTGGTTGAGAATTATTGGTAGGTAACATTCATTTCTAGACTGCACGAACATTGCGGATGGACTGGATTGTTTAATGACTGTTACATTTAATGTAGCGAAAATATTTGATATCATGTTACTGATTATTGTTTGTTCGAGATTGAAGTGCGTGATTGAGGAAATCGATGCGGGCGTTTATGTATCTGTTCAATATATAATATATATGTTTTTAGCTGATGCATATGGGATTAATTGGGAATGTGTTTGTTTCCCAACTCTTTTATGTTCTTTCATTTAGATATCTCTGTAAATGGCGGATCTCAAAGAGCGGTTGCTTCCACCGAAACCTTCATCTGCTATTAATCTTAGGGAGACAATTAATAATCGACCATCAGCCTCTGGGAGGGTGCCTTTTCAAGGTGTGGATGTTCTAGGGCTGAAGAAGCGAGGGCAGGGACTTAGATCTTGGATCCGAGTAGATTCCTCTGGGAACTCCCAGATTATTGAGGTTGATAAGTTCACCATGATGCGTCGTTGTGATCTACCTGCGCGTGATTTACGTTTGCTTGATCCTTTGTTTGTTTACCCTTCAACAATTCTTGGTAGAGAGAAGGCTATTGTGGTCAATCTAGAGCAGATTCGATGCATTATAACAGCTGAAGAAGTTTTGCTATTAAATTCCCTTGATAGCTATGTACTGCAGTATGTGGTAGAGCTACAGAGGCGATTGAAAACCACCGGGGTTGATGAGGTTTGGCAGAATGATGCAAATCATGGAGCTGACTTAAATCGAAGAAGAGGAAGCAGAAATTTCGATAATGTATTTGGAAACACCTCTCCTGATTATTTGCCCTTTGAATTCAGAGCTTTAGAAGTTGCTTTGGAAGCAGCTTGTACATTTCTTGATTCCCAGGTGCGTAGAAATAGAAATTTGAGCTCTTTCTTTTCATTTGTTTAATTCATGTTAATCGTGGTGTCTAGGAATGTTATGTTTGTTTTTTAGATGCATATGAATATATCAGTATTGCATTCTTGCTTGGTTCTTAGTTTGGCAAAAGTGAGGATGAAGAAAAAGTGTACTAATGCCCTACAAATGAAACTATCTTTGATTGTTTATCATCATATTTTTACTAGCTAATGATTGGTTCATCTAATATGATAATATCTAAATTTGCCCATTTCCTCGAAGGCTGCAGAGTTAGAAATCGAAGCATACCCGTTGCTAGATGAACTTACATCCAAAATCAGTACATTAAATTTGGAGCGGGTCCGCCGCTTGAAAAGCAGACTTGTTGCCCTGACTCGTAGGGTTCAGAAGGTATTCTGCATTAACTCTAGTGATCCTGATTTTAGGCATGTGAATGGTAGCTACAAATTTCTTGTCTTTGTTCTCTCTTTGAGCTGCATCTTTTTAGGTTAGGGATGAAATAGAGCAGCTCATGGATGACGATGGAGATATGGCAGAAATGTATCTGACTGAGAAGAAAATGAGAATGGAATCCTTTGTTTATGGCGATCAATCTGTTACTGGATACAGATCAATTGATGGAGCATCTTTTTCTGCTCCTGTTTCTCCTGTATCTTCACCACCCGAATCTCGCAAGCTCGAGAAGAGCCTGAGCATTGCCAGGAGCCGGCATGAGAGTACGAGAAGTTCAGAAAGTTCAACTGAAAATATAGAGGAGCTTGAGATGCTTCTTGAAGCATATTTTGTTGTCATTGATAGCACCCTGAATAAGTTGACATCGGTATGCATTGCACCTAAATAAGTTTCTTCTCTCCTTTACCTATGTGTGATGAAGTTGACGTTCTTATTTCATTTCCCCCCTTTTTAGTTGAAGGAATACATCGATGACACAGAAGATTTCATCAACATCCAGCTGGTATGCGCACGTTCTCTCTTTTTTTCTTTTGTCAGTTCATACTTCATTCTATCTGCTGAACTGTTGGGTTTTGGAAAACATAATACCTGTTAGAGTATGATCAATATCCTTCCTATTATCTACAAATAGCTATATCTGTAAATTGTCATATGTGTTGAGGATTATTGGAAGGGTGTCCCACGTTGGCTAATTTAGGGAATGATCATAGGTTTATAAGTAAGGAATACATCTTCATTCATTGGTATAAGGCCTTATGGGGAAGCCCAAAGCAAAGCCTTGGAAAATATCATATCATTGTGAAGTGTCGTGATTCTTAACAATAGGTCCTTCCTGCTATTTTAGTGGATAAGCATAAAAACATAGAGTAAAGAGAAAATTTACAATTTGGTTAATGCTTCTAAATTGCATTTTTTTCCCTTCTTAACTTCTAAACCAGACCCATGATGAAAACTGCTTATGAAAAATTCAAAACTTGGTGATCATACTGTCGTATCTTTCTTTATTTGTCTTCAATTACTCTAAAGTTTATCATGTGCAGGATAATGTACGTAACCAGTTGATCCAGTTTGAGCTGCTACTCACTACTGCAACATTTGTCGTTGCCATTTTTGGGGTGGTAGCTGGAATTTTTGGCATGAATTTTGAAATACCAATGTTTGGGAATCCTGATGCATTCAAATGGGTTCTTCTAATAACAGGAGTAAGTGGAATTATCATATTTTCTGCATTTGTTTGGTTTTTCAGATACAAAAGACTGATGCCACTCTAAAGAGAGAATTGCTGGAGGTAACCAAACGGAATGCCATTGATTGTATTAATTATTTTTTTTCTTCCTCTTAATTAATGTTAACATTAAGTGCAAGTAGATGTAGGAGAAACTTAGCTGAGCTCGAGAAATTCATCCAACTCAATTTTGGAGCCTTTGTTCTCTCTACTTACTGTGATTTAGTTTGTTGGAATGATCTTATATTTTGTCAGTTAATAAATGATACGAAATCAGATTCAGATTGAAATTCTTTTCTGCGGTGACAACTTTTAACAAATTTTTGGTTACAGAACACCTGTTAATGGGAGTGTTTGGCTGGTTAAATTTGTGTAACTAGAAGTTAGGAACTTGATTTGTATTCCATGTTTTCAGTAATTAGATCATAAATTTTTAAATTGTTCAAATTGCTTTTAGGGTGTCCAATTTAAACGCTGTTTAAGATGGTATGTTAATATATTTATTATATTTATAAACTATAAAAATAGTTTAAAGTTAAATATCGAATATTATCATAAAATTTTATATAAATTTTATGGACATTTTGACTCTAAACATATGCCAAGTTTGAGATTAAACTTTCAATTTCATCCCTTTAAACCTTAAACTTGAATGCATGCATCAATTTACTCTCTGTCAAGTTGTTTCAATTACCATTACAATTTCTTCCCCCCACATGTTCAAAGCTAAGTGGTACTTTTGTTTGTTATTTATAAAAAAAATTACGCACCATCATGAAAACAACAAACATGACTCTCAAAAGTATGACCAACATGAAGATAAACGAACTCTTGTGTTCCCCTAATGTTCAGTGTTGTTGAAGGTATAGCGAGTTGGTGGTGAGTAGTTTGAGCTTGGCTAAAAGAGTAGAACTCACATGAAAATAAACTAACTCGTGTTCCCTCTTGCCTTGAGTGTTGTTGAAGTCGATGGCAACCATAGCAATTTTTGTGACGTCGGTGGTAAGTAGTTTGAGCTCAAACAAACAAACAATGTCCATGAATGCAAAAACTAGTTGTAGTTGACATTGTCATTCTCGTTGATGGTTTTATGAAGGATGAAGGCAACACCACCGTAGCGAAGAAAAAAAAATCGTAAAGCTCTTAATAGACAATAGAATCTTGCCAAGAAATCGTAAAGCTCTCCATGGATGAAATAAAAAAAAATTGATCGTAGAAGGTATGGAAAAAAACTTGCAAATCTTCAACAATCTTATTTTTTTCAAAATTAACAAAATAAGTATATACCATAAAACATGTGGCTTCTAAATGGTATGAAAGACTTTTCTAATGAGAATTAAAATATGGATGGAGTGTTCATATTGATATATTTATTTTTAAGTTTAAAGTTTAAGTTGATAAATACTACTAAATTTAGGGTAAAAAATAATTTTTTATCTCTTATTATTTTAAAATATGGAAGAAAAAAAGCTTTTATTATAAAAATATTATATTTACCAAGATTTATTTATAATGTTATTTTGCATTTTAAAATTTTAAATTCAAAAGTGTGATACACTAAAATCTAAAAACATAAAAAAAAAAAAAAAAAAAAAAAAAAATTT